ATCCTCCTCGGCGGTGGCGAGGAGGCACCCTTAGCGGGCGGACACCGTCGGTGAGGTGGCAAGGTTGGGGTGGAGGTTCTCCTGGTCGAAGGCGCGCGGGGATGCGGCGCCAGCGAAGGCGGAGAGCGAGGGCGAGCCTGCAGCTTCAGGTTCCGCTTTAACATCTCCATGGCCTCTTACTGTTGCTGCTGCGTATTACTCCGGCGAGACGCGGATCCGCTAGCTGAATCAAGGGAATTGAGAGAGGTGAGGAGAGGCGGCGGCGGTCCCGCAGGGTTCGCTCGGGCTGGCCTGCGATCGGCGCGGCGGTGGCCCCGCAGGGTTCGACGGTGTTCTATGGTTTTTGTTTTCGTGTATTTTTTTCGGTGATCTCCGTTGCCAGTGGGATTCGATCTCTCGCCGCAGGAGGGCGTGCGTGGGGCAGGTCGCGGTGTCGTGCGCGTTTGAAGGCGGCTTTGCGTGGGACGGAGGGCGCGGGTGAGAAGCCTGGCATCACACATCCAAGATCAGCCGTCGGATGGATTTGGTTCTTTTATTTGCCTTTGATTTTAATGAAGATAAATTTCTGTGTGTATTTTTCTAGGTGCACAATGGTTGAAGGTTCTCAGCGGGGGGCATTTTTCTGGGTAGACTGAGCATAATTTTGATTCGTCCATTATAGTAGAGATGTCATTAGATTACTTCGAGTTTACATGTTAATGATGCTGAACATTTAGGGGACCATGATCCATGGAGTTATCAATAAAGCCTATATGAAAAAACTCAAACCTCCACAATTACAAAATATAATTAAACTAATCCCATAATGCTTTTTTTTATAAATTATCCATCTCTGTCACTACGAAAGATAATGCTTTGAGCCCCATGATTGCATTCAAATTACCCATACCTAGCATTATGAAATATAATGTAATGTAATGTAATGTGTACCAATATAATTTGTACCTAAACTATCCATCTCAACCGTTATAAAAATTTAACAAAAAATATATCAAATCTACATGTAAATGCTAATATAAGCTATTATGAAAAATAATTCAACATCCATAAGTACAATATATCCACAAAGCTATTTGAAATAAACACTTCAGCTAATATTCAGTTAAAACTATGCACAAAGCTATCTTCCACTGCATAGACTATACATTAGGATAAATATTTATTTTATAAGCTTATCAAGTGTGGAAAATATCCTTAGCAAACCACATAGTAACGACACTTACAGTTCACTTTAAGTTATATTAATACTCATGATAATAAACTTTGTAAGTCATTATCTTGAAAAAGTTTAAACAATTTGATTGAAACATTATATCTTATGAATATTAGTAATTTAATTTCAAGCATTACTATTTGATAAAACAATAATAATACAATATAATAAATTCAAAATCTTGATTGCCGTGGTGCATGCTCAAACAAATATTTATTCCATTGTAAGAACTAAGAGGGTAGCCTAGGACCTAGAATATTCTTTTCAAAAAATAAAAATGGAAATTTTGAATAAACAATACAATAAGCATAAGAATTTCATATTAACACGTGAATAAGATATTATTACAACAACTACATCAAAAGCCAAAAGTTAAATATAGAATTTTGTGATATCACAATACGGGACAAAATAAGAGTTTATATACTTTAATTTTATGTTTCAACGAAATACATATCCTGCTAAAAAAGATTAATCCTACAAATTATGACTCATGAAACCGCTAGAAATAAAAAAGATAGTTCCTAAAATTCTTACAAAAATCTAAACATTTTGCCATCAAATTGGTAGACCATAATCACCGTTGCGAATAATAGTTGTTGTATCAATTAATAAGCTCAAAATTTGGGAAAAACAGTCAAAATTTAGGTGCTATGTAAAGCAAAAAAACGATAGATATAGATGATAAATACACTAAAATTAATAATTAATAGATTATCACAACTGATATAGACTATAGAGTACCTATTGTGGCTATTATTTTAAATGTTAGTAAAGAGGAAAAATATAATATATTAGTAATTTTTATTAGTTAGTGTCTCCTAAGATTCTAACCCGTGCGAGAGCACGGGTTGGTGAACTAGTATTTCTAATGACAGTTCTAGGACAAGTGTGCATAATATTTGATGTCTTCGATTTAAGTTCAGTTTGGCAAACAATCTAATATCTAAAAAAATAATGGGCCCAATGAGGCGTAATGCAGATCATGATGATCATTACTGGCACGCTTATGCAAGGGTCCAAAAATTCCTTTATGATTTATCTCTTTTTTAATTTGTTCTTATGAATGGGGCCAAAATTTCCTTGTAGTTTAAGTTTGGCTTGTGCACTTTGGGCCTTCATGGAGTTGGTGTCTTGTGAAACTATAAAGCACCCACCACTACTACAGAACTGACATCTAGTCCCGGTTGGGAACTGGTTTTAGTCCCAGTTTCCCAACCGGGACTAGCGTTCCGAGACTAAAGGTGGTGTTCTTTAGTCCCGGTTTGCCACAACCGGGACTAAAGATCCTCTCAGCTTAAAAAAAAATAATGCCTCCCACCGCTGCGTCCTATGATATTCAAACCCAAGACCTCATGCACTGCCTCGCGCGAGCTTACCACCCCACCTACACAACACATCTAACAATAGATGGGATGCTTTCCTTTTGAACTAACCCATCGGGGGACCTTTAGTCCCGGTTGATGTTACCAACCGGGACTAAAGGGTTCTTTAGTCCGGGTTGGTGTTACGAATCGGGACTAAAGGGTCTACCTTTAGTCCCGGTTGGTATTAACAATCGGGACTAAAGGTTGGAGGACTTTTAGTCCCGGTTGGTGGTTCCAATCAGGAGTAAAGGAACCTTTAGTCCCAGTTAGTATTACCAACCGGGACTAAAGGAACCTTTAGTCCCGGGGACAAAAAATGCCGAGACTAATGTCAAATTGGGATATCGTTCTAAAGTCTGTTCTCTAGTAGTGCACACTTTTCTTGTAGTATTTGCTTGCCTTTCCTTTACAATTTCTCTCTCATCCTTATTACTTGGTTTAGGTGGTGGACACACGGGAACTGTTGTGTCTTGAAGAAGAGTAATTATTTTCCTAAATCATATAGTTTCTAAACTTTCAGAAGAAAACTGCATTTTGCATGAAAAGCTGGAGCTTTTTGTGTGGTATTAGGCATGCATGGCAAAGTTTGAGAAAGAATTTGGTCCCCTCTAGCAGCCGATCTAGCAATTCGTTCGCCAAATCCAAATTTGATAGCACCTAGAGGACATTTACTAAGTGACAGTTCTGCTTTTTTAACCTACTGACAACCTGCTATGTTTGAATTGGGCAGTTTGGGGATAGATAGAAAGCATGCTGAAGTTGTCTTGTACACCATCCGGAACCTGTGGAAAGAGCATCATAGAAGAGTTTTCGACAACAAAGAGTAAATGCCCGCACACATAACAAGTTTATCCAGCATGACAGCCTCTATGAAACGGCGCATGGGAAATATCATGTAAATAACTAGCATGTATATACTGGATTGGCCATGGCTGCAATCACCTGCAGCTAACACGGCCACTAGTTTCCCTAACTTTTTCATTTCCATATGATTCTTAGCCAACTTGTAAAGCAGTACTGTTTTTTTTTTTCCATCTCTACTTCATTAATCATTCTAGCTTATGCATGGTGTTTATGTAGTAGCACATGCATATAATACTTGATTCATGTTCAGTCTTGTGATACATCCAACTTAGCATCATTATATGAAGCTAATGCTTTCTTCTCGCTTCTTTTTAAAAATCTGATATATATAGGTTGATGTTAGCTTCTTTCAAGTCAGGACTGCTTTATTTCTTGCTAGCTCCCTTGTGCAGTAAGTAGGTTTGGCATTTGATTAGTGCTTCATGCTTACATGATTATTATTTATGTGTGTGCGTGTAAGAGCAAGTATAATAGCAGGCTGTAAGCAGGCTGAATGCTGACGTAGAGGAGAGAAGAGAGGAAAGAGAGGAGAAACGGGTTGTAAGCTTACAGCCAGCTTAGACACAAGAACCGAAAAACTATGTAAGAGAGACAGGTGGGCCATGTATTAATACTGAAGAGGTAAACTACTATATCAGTGGGCTGAGAGGTAAGTTGCAAGGATCCTTGCAGCCAGCAGCCGGCTGTATTATTCACCTTGATATGAAGATGGAGAGAGGCTTATGTATTAGTGCCATGGAGTAACTTGGATGTATGATACCTTGTACCTTGTACTTTTTGCATGATTTGACTTGTTTAATTTCAAGTATATATTTGTCTGTAGAGATAATGAATTTGTTCCTTTGTCTTTCATCTTCCTGGGCAAAAAGAGATAAGTTTCCTCGCAATAATGATGTGATATAGAATATGTTCCTGGCTTTACTGTGATACTTAGTTTTCCATAATCTGCACTAACATATTTACTATTTTATTGTTCTTCCTAAATTTCGGTTGATTTTTCCTCAATTTTTCCTTTTTTTCTAATTTCTGAATTTGCTTTCATTGCTGCCGTGAACATCTCTTTCTTTTGTTTATTTGAACTCGAAAGCATAGTGTTCTTATATTAAAACCCAACGTTCAAGTTCAGAAAATTCAGGCATCTCATGATTGCATTTCAGCAGACAGCAGCCAAACACCCTGGGATAATCTGGCCCTTCCTCCAAACAGCAACGGGGGAAGGGGAACGCCACCCTGGGAATCGATCCTCCACAAAAATCCCCGTCGGGGCTGCTGTCCCCTGGGCTGGGCTGCCCCTTCCTCCCAAAGGAAGCCTTCCTGACGTCTTCCAGATGCAATGCCAAAATGCTCTGCAAACACTGTCGCCTACCAGCTACCGAACGTACACGACGACGCACAAATCAAAGAACCACCGTCGTCCGCATCTACTCATCCACGACGCTACAGCGGCCCGCCGGCCGCGCTTATAATGGCACCTGCCCGCGGCTAGCATAGAGAACAGCCAGCCATACACCGCCCGAGCGACCCTATTATCGTCCTTGGTCGTCGTCGCTTTGCCAATGGCGCCACCTAACGAGCCGAAGCCCACGCCCAACACGGCATCGTCATCGGCGTCGCCGTGCCTCTTCTCGCTGCGGGACGGCGAGCTCACCGTCGGCGGCGGTGGCAACGACGGCAGCAAGGCCGCCGCCGCGCTCCTCACGGGCGTGCCGGGGAACGTCACGCTCACCCCGTTCGCCGAGGCCTTCGACCCGACCACCAAGGCGGCGTCGGACGCGCCGGAGGAGCTGGCAAGGCAGGCCGCGTCGAACGCGCACCGCGGCGCGTTCCTGGGCTTCGCGCTGCCCGCGGCGGCGAGCCGCGCGCCGTGCAGCGTGGGGCGCCTGCCCGGCCCGCGGCGGTTCCTCAGCGTGTTCCGGTTCAAGACGTGCTGGAGCACGGCGTGGGCGGGGCGGCGCGGCCGGGACAGCCAGATGGAGACGCAGTGGGTGCTCCTCGAGGTGCAAGAGCTCGCCGGCGCCGCCGGCGCGGGGTACGTGTTCGTTCTCCCACTCGTGCAGGGGAGCTTCCGGTCGGCCATCTTCCCTGAGGAGGACGACGGCGTCGTCATCTGCGCCGAGAGCGGGTCTGCCTCCGTGACGGCCACGGACTTCCACCGCATCGCCTACGTGCACGCCGGCGACGACCCCTACAGGGTCATGCAGGAAGCCTGAAGCCTACCTCGCGGCCAGGGTGCACCTCGGCACGTTCAGGTTGCTACGTGCTAGTACAAAATTTCCGGCCCTTGATTTCACCATCGGACGGTTGCGATTAACTCTGGATCTGGAACGCGCGCCACACCGCACCGCAGGTTAATCCAGGAGAAGGCGTTGCCGCCGATGGCCGACCGGTTCGGGTGGTGCACGTGGGACGCCTTCTACCTCACCGTCGACCCGGCGGGAGTCTGGCAGGGCGTGTCAGAGTTCGCCGACGCCGGCGTGCCCCCGCGGTTCCTCGTCATCGACGACGGATGGCAGAGCCTGAACCGCGACGATGACCCGCCGCACCAGGACGCGCCGGGACTCGTGCTCGGCGGCGAACAGATGACCGCGCGCCTGTACCGCTTCGACGAGTGCCCGCGCTTCCGCGGGTACAGGGAGGGCGCCCTGATCCGCCGCCCGCCGGAACTGTTCTACGACGCGAGCATGCCCAAGGCCATCGTGCGCAAGGCCAGGGAGATCGAGAACGCCGGGAAGGCGAAGAAGAAGGCGGCGCAGGGTGGCGCCACCGATCTCTCCAGCTTTGACGCCAAGATCGCGCAGCGCCTGCGACGGCCACGGCGAATTGCGCTTGAAGGCGTTCCTGAAGGACATGAGGCGCAGGTTCCCCGGGCCGGACGACGTGTACATGTGGCAGGCGCTGTGCGGCGCGTGGGGCGGGGTGCGCCCCGGAGCGACGCACCTGGACGCGCGAGTCGTGCCGGCGCGGCCGTCGCCAGGGCTGGCAGGCACCATGGACGACCTCGCCGTGGACCGCATCCTCGAGGGCGGTATCGGGCTGGTGCGCCCCGACCAGGCCGGCGACCTCTACGAGTCAATGCACTCGTACCTCGCCAGCGCGGGCGTCACCGGCGTCAAAGTCGACGTCGTGCAGATGCTGGAGTACGTCTGCGAGGAGCACGGCGGGCACGTTGAGGTCGCCAAAGCCTACTACGACGACCTGTCCAGGTCCGTCGCCAAGAACTTCGCCGGCCCCCCTAACGATACCGGAGCCCCCGGGAGCCCCATGATTTTTTAGGCAAAATTCTATTACGTAGGTGGGGCTGAGACTTAAGATCAAGCAGCAGTCGGAGGTATGATGCTGTCGCACTTTTTGTTCAGCCCCCTAAAATTTTTCCTGAATTCGCCGCTGACCTCATGGGCATGTTCTGGCTGCAGGGCGCGCACATGGTGAACTGTGCCTACAACAGCCTGTGGATGGGGCAGTTCATCCGCCCGGACTGGGAATGAGATCCTCTGCAGTTGGCCAGAGAACTTCTCTCTACGGTTGCTAGAAATCTGGCCGCCCATTCCTATCTAACGGTGACCAAAGCATATACAGATGCCCCCCTCAGCTCGCTGGGCCTGCCCAATATCTTTCCGAATGTTTTGAGGTTGTATTGTACTCCTCCGTATAAAGTCTCCTCCAGCGTCCCCTTCTCAGGCCAATATACTAGTAGTACTAGTAGTCCATTGACGCGGACGGAGATGGCCGAGGAGCAGCAGACCAAGGTGGTATTGTCCGGCTCCAGCTGCCCGGTCTTAGTGCCGGAGTGAAGGAAGAACCGGAGCAGGGAGGCGTAGCCCACGCCCACGGCGGCGGAGGATCACACGAAGAAGCCGCGGCGGCCGAGCAGGCAAGCCAAGCCTTGGAGCGGCCGCGGATCACCATCAGCGTCGACGTGAGCCTGCTCCACTGCGCCGTCGCCGAGTGCCACCGCCCCCTCAAGCCTCCCGTAGTCAAGGTGAGATGTCACGACAACCAAATCTAGGCAACAGATGGTTTGTTTGCTTTCCTTCAATGGCCTTGGATTGGATAGAACGAAGATTGATTCTTTTGCGCCACGGCTGTGTCGTCTTCATCCTTCTGGCTGGCTGCAGTGCGAGGCCGGGCACCTGCTGTGCGGCGCCTGCCTCGATGGGGGCCACTGCCGCAAGTGCGACCGCGCCACCGCCTTCGCCCACTGCGGGCCGGAGCTGGACCTATTCGTCGGCGACGCCAGGGTGCCGTGCCCGCTCAAGTCCTACGGCTGCGGCGCCTCCGTCGCGTACCACGAGACTGCCGCGCACCAGGACGCGTGCGCCTACGCGCCCTGCCACTGCGCGGTGGCCGGGTGCCCGTTCACGGCCAAACCGCCGAGGCTCCGCGACCACCTCGCCGTCGACCACGCCTGGCCCCTCGACACGCTCCCCACCTACGGGAAGGCGCTCCCGCTCCGCGTTCCGGCGCCGGCGTCGTCGGAGCCGCAGCCGCAGCAGCTGCACCACCGCCTGCTGGTCGTGGAGGGCGACGAGCGCAGCCTGTTCGCGCTGTCCGTGCGCCCGTGCGGCGGCTCCGGCGCGGCCAGCCCCATCCTCGCCGGATCTGGCGCATCCGTCCTCTCCAAGCGCAGCGAAGCGGGCGTTTCCTCTGCAGGTAGCAGGTCGGCGCCGTGGCACCATCCTCGCCATTGCAGGCAGTAGGTCGGCGCGGCGGCCCCATCCTCGCCAGGCGCATCACTAGATCGGCGCGGCGTTCCCTTCCTCATCATGCGTGGCACTGGGCCGGCGATGCAGCCCTCGCAGGCGCGGCGCGCCCGCCGTTGGTGTCGGCACTCCTCTTCTACTTCCTGTATGGGAGATGCACCTGCTTATGGATGGAGAGCACCATAGCAGCATAGTCCGATCGCCGCCGCACGCCCTTTCGCTCCAAAAACGTAGTCCCGGCGCCAAAAGTGGCGAGCAGCCGCGCCAGGAAATAAAATACCGAGTCTCAGGTACGTGAAAGGCTACGTGATATTGGGCCAGGCCCAGCGAGCTGAGGGGGGGCATCTGTATATGCTTTGGTCACCGTTAGATAGGAATGGGCGGCCAGATTTCCAGCAACCGTAGAGAGAAGTTCTCTGGCCAACTGCAGATGATCTCATTCCCGGACTGGGACATGTTCCAGTCCGACCACGCTCGCCGCGCCTTCCACGCCAGCGTCCGGGCCCATCTGCGGCGGCCCGTCTTCACGTCGGCGACTTCCTCAGCAGCCACGACTTCGCCTTTGCTCAGCGGCTCGTCTTCCCCGACGGCACCGTGCCCAGGTGCCTGCACTATGCTCTCCCCACCAGACCGCCTCTTCAAAAATCCGCTCTTTGATCAGCAGGCTGTCCTCAAGATTTGGAACCTGAACAAGGTCAGCTTTTCTTAATGTTCCATACCATTTCTTACTGTATGCTGCCACCTCAAATTGACTTACGTAAGATATTTGATTAATTTTATAAAACTTAAATATCCCCTGCATCCCTTGAATTGTTTCTCTTGACAAGTAGGATTCCAAGTGGCATGTAGTGCCCAGAGTTCTGAAACTGTCCAAATTTTGCAGTTTGGAGGGGTCAACTGCCAGGGAGCAGGGTGGGACCCGGTGGAGCACCGTGTCCGAGGCTACTCACACTGCTACAAGCCAGTCTCCGGCAATGTCCAGCCTGCCGACGTTGAGTGGGGCCAGAGGGAAGACACGTCGGCCATGGTAAAAGCTGCATCATACGCAGTCTACCGATGCCAAACCGAGGAGTTCCTCCTGATGACACCAGGTTCAGAACCCATCCAGTTCACCCTCCAGCCATCGTCCTTTGAGCTCTTCACGTTTGCTCCGGTCACAACCATCGTCGGTGGTGCCGCCAAAGCATGCTTTGCGCCGATCGGGCTGGTTGACTTGCTAAACTGTGGAGGCGCCATCGTTGATGTTGAGCACAGCAGTGGAAGCGAGGTGAGGGTGAAGGTGAAGGGTGGAGGACGGCTGCTGGTGTACTCTGATGTGGAACCAAAGAAGAGCCTGGTGGATGGCTGTGAGGCTGAATTTGAATGGGAAAATGGCGGGAAGCTGTTGGTCGATGTGACGTGGAACCAGAAGGATGGTGTCTCTGATGTGGTCTTCTTTTTCTAGAAGAAGAGAGATGCCATGCTGTTATGCTCATGGAGACATGGAGACATGGAAGCTACAATGCTTTGAAAGTTGCAGCTGTTAATTCTCCCAGCGACCCTTTTCTGTTTTCTACTTATGAGTTATGATACATATATGGTGTGACAAACTTATTACTTTACTATTTGTGTTGTGTGGAATTTGTATTGTTTCAAAATCAGGGGAAGGATGGTGTCTGATGTGCTCTTCTGTTTCTAGGAGGAGAGATGTTGTGCGCTGCTATGCTCATAAGAGCAACAATGGTTGCAACTATTAATTCTTTTCACCCTTTTTTATTCTGATACATATGGTGTGACAAATGTATTTGTTTTTTTCGTATTGTGTGAAATCTGTATTGTTCCAAAAGAAGTGAGTTTAATTTGAAATTTTTTTGTAGTGCCTTGTTTTTCAGTAGGAAAAAACCAAGCAAATTCTATCCGGCTTTTGTAATTAGCTGTTGTAGAGGATAGCCTAATACTTTGGATAGCGCTCATAATGGTAGTGGTCAAAGAAATCAAGCAGATAACCGTGGTTTGTAATTTTAGTTTGTTATTGTTTGGTTTCATTTACTAGTAAAGAAAATTTGCTCTAAAATCATTAATGGAAGATAACTGTAATACAGGGCACATTAGGAGGTTGTAGTAGTTGTGTAGTTTGCCCACATAGCTCAAGTGTGGTTTTAGTTGTAGTTAGATTTATTATGACAATGGAAGTTTAGGAAGGTGAGACAGTGAGAGCTAGAATGTAATCCTTGTCATCGTAAACAAAGCACCTCTAGGTTAATCTTTTTTGACAAAGTGAGGACTGAAATACAAGTGATGTGTTATACGTATAAGGGTTCATTCCTCGTAAGGACCTGAGCTGTAACTATACTTTGCACACCTGGTCTCATTGAACCCTTAGCTACACATGTAAGAATCCTATAGCACCTTAAGGCAGGTGAAAGTAAATACCTATGCCCATGTGTGGTATAGTTGGCTTGGTTTAGTACCATCCCAAAAAATTATATCGCTGAGGATATGGGAGTACTAATGTATTATAGATAATATTTAGAGCATGAAATGACATAACATAATATGGACTTTATTTGAAATGAAATGCCATGAGAATGCTATATCCTTCACTTTATTTTATAGATATTGACGGTCAGATTTAGGGTTTAGTGACCGTCAACAAAGTGCAAGTAGAGAGCTTGGCATGAATGGCCGAAGCAATGGTGAAGAGTGAGTAAGGCTTAGGTTGATGGACTCGGAAGGCCATATAAAGCTATGAAGTGATTCATGTCGTTCATAGAAAGGAGCCAAAGAGTTGATACCATGGATGGATGTCGAGTGGCTCGAATGAGTAAGATTGAAAGATCATCAAGTGTTGGCAACAATCAAGTGATGTGGCTTAGATGGACTTCATTCGTATGTGAATAACCAGTGGATATCAGAATGAAGTGGATGATATGGAAAATGTATGCTTGCGGGCATTGACTTAGAGTTGGAATGGACTTGCGCATGTCAAAGGTGTCAAATATAGGACATTTCATTTCAATGGCCTAGGTGTTTAGAGAAGTGCATTGCCTAGGTTTAGGCAAGATATGTAGTTGTACTATCAAGAGGGGAAGAAGTGTTTTACATAATAGTTATCTAGTGCCACTCATGAGGTCTAACTTGCATTGCATTTAGATCCAAGCGACAGTTTGAGACATGGGTGAAAACCCTTTGAAAAATGTTTTAAAATGCAAAATCAGTGTTAAAGGTGTTGGCAATCCTTTGGAAGACCCTAAGGTGTTATCCATTTGAAAAAGGTTTGATAGGAGTGCTTGGTGGAGTGTTTTTACGCTCACCGGAATACATCCACAGGAGTTTAGAGCACATGGCCCTACATAGTGGTGTACAGTGAAAGTGTTTTGTGTGAGCTCTGACTCCTTGTGGGCACCGGAGTGCAACCATTGGAGTTTAGGCTCTAATAAGGTTGGGACACATGTCAGTGATCAGAGGAAAGCGAGAATTTTCAAAAGAGATCATCGGAGCTCTTCAGAGGAACGCATGAGTTTTCAAAAAAGATCACCGGAGCTCTTCGGTGAGGTGCACTGGAGAGTAAAGGTAAGGGTTTAACCCTTATGCAGAGAGCTTCAGGGCTCAATAGATCTCTCCGATGAGGGGCAGGGGAGAGTACCAGTGGCCTAAGAGGCTACTGCAGAGCTCTTTGGAGCGCACAAGAAACTCTGGTGGTATACAGTTTAGTTCCAGAGAGGGTGTTTAACTATGCGCATGGGAAGATACAACGCACTATAGCTCTCTGGTGCTCACCATAGAGGAGCACTGGAGCTTTGAGAACATCAATGGCTAGTTTCTGATAGTTGTCAATGACCATTGGGAGTGTCGAAAGATTTAGCTCCGGCAATACCTTACAGCATATTCGCGTACAGGGAATCAAATGGATAGAACACAAGACATAGGGATTATACTAGTTCAGACACGTGGTGCCCTACGTCCAGTTTGAAGTAGCTTCTCTTTGTATTCGTATGCTCAGTAACAGAGGGTTGTTGCCTATAGCTATGCGCTAGAATGTAGAAGATGGGGATCCCGATCGGGAGGCCCCTACCCCTCCTTATATAGTTGGGGTGTAGGATTACAGTAGGTCTGATCGGCTAACAGATGTGTTTCCTAGTTTGTTACATGGAAAGTGTAACAAAATGATTTTACCCTATCGCCTAGATATGACGACACCGGATATCCTCGGAATGAGTTGATCTCCAAGCTTGTGGTTTCGCCTAACCCACGTGGGCCCATCCCTCGTCTTCCGCCCTATAGATAGGCATGGATCGTGTATACGGGCGGTGAAGGTACCCCGAGCCCATATATCTGACACGAAGAACTTTGGTGGTAAGCTCCAGTAGTACTACCACCGGAGATTCATAGTGGATATGCTTTTTGATAAAATTAGAATAATAAGGTTAAATTTGGACAAGATGTAAGTCACAAGGAATGCGGTTTTTTGAACTCACATCTACTGGGTTTATGATTATTTGGGACCATAATTTTGCTAGAGCGAAGGAAACTGAGCCATACAAAATTACAAACCAAATTTATCTGTTTGGTTTCTTTGACCACTACTAGTTTTATTCTAGAATAAGGAGAAACTTCCGGCACTGACCACTACAACTATGAGCAATATCCAGGTAGAGTAGAAGGTTCCCATTGCAGGGCAAGCCGTTACAGAATTTCTTCAAATTAATTCACTTATTTTTGAAACAGTACAAAATTGCACACAACACAAATAATAAACTAAGTTTATCACACCATACAAAATCAGAAAAAAAAAGTGGAAAAGAATTAACAGCTGCAACTTGCAAGCATTGTTGCTTCCATGAGCATAACAGCACGACATCTCACTCTTAGAAACAGAAGACCACATCAGAGACACCATCCTTCTCCTGGTTACACGTCACATCGACCATCAGCTTGCCGCCATTTTCCCATTCAAATCCAGCCTCACAGCCATCCACCAGGCTCTTCTTCGGTGCCACGTCAGAGTACACCAGTAGCCGTCCTTCCCCCTTCACCTTCATCATCACCTCGCCTCCACTGCCGTGCTGAACATCAACGATGGCGCCGCCACAGTTCAGCAAGTCAACCAGCCCGATCAGCGCGAAGCGCGCTTTGGCGGCACCGCCACCGATGGTTGTGACCGGAGCAAGCGTGAAGAGCTCAAAGGACGATGGCTGGAGGGTGAACTGGATGGGTTCTGAATCTGGTGTCATTAGGAGGAGCTCCTCGGTTTGGCATCGGTAGACTGCGTATGATGCAGCTTTTGCCATGGCCGACGTGTCTTCCCGCTGGCCCCACTCAACGTCGGCAGGCCGGACATCGCCGGAGATCGGCTTGTAGCAGTGTGAGTAGCCTCGGACGCGGTGCTCCACGGGGTCCCACCCTGCTCCCTGGCAGTTGAATGCCCCAATGACTCCTCCAAACTGCAAAAATTAATTTGGACAGTTTCAGAATTCTGATGGTATTACATGCCACATGGGATCCTAGTTGTCAAGACCAACAATTCAAGAACTGAAAGCATGCATGCACCCTCCCTGATGCCGCCGTCGCTAGTAGATTTTAAGAGTGGGCAACAAATCTATGAAATGCAATAAAAGTTGATGCCTCCATGAAAGCAGTAGGATACCACCCCCATGGAACTGTACTGTTCATCGCACTTAGTAACTGATCCAGATATTTGGAAAAAAATTGATCAACTATCAGCGATTGTGTCTGTGCCTTGTTCAGGTTCCAAATCTGAACAAAGCGCATTGTGTAAGAAATGGTATGGTACATTAAAAAAAAAAAACTGACCTTGTTCAGGTTCCAAATCTTGAGGACGGTCTGCTGATCAAAGAGCGGATTTTTGAAGAGGCAGTCTCTGGTGGGGAGAGCATAGTGCAGGCACCTGGGCACGGTGCCGTCGGGGAAGACGAGCCTCCTGAGCAGGGCGAAGTCGTGGCCGCCGAGGGAGTCGCTGACGTAGACAGGGCCGCCGCAGATGGCCCTGGACGCGGCGTGGAAGGCGGCGCAGGCGTGGTCGGACTGGAACATGTCCCAGTCCGGGCGGATGAACTGCCCCATCCACAGGCTGTTGTAGGCGCAGTTCACCATGTGAGCGCCCTGCAGCCAGAACACGCCCATGGGGTCGCCGTTGGGGTCCTCGAACCAGAAGTCGTCGCCGGCGCGGCCCATGGCCACCTGCCGCGTGCCCAGGAAGAAGAAGTCGTTGCACTGCTGCATGCTGGCGATGATGCCCGTGCCGGCGAAGTTCTTGGCGATGGACTTGGAGAGCCCGTCGTAGTAGACCTTGGCGAGCTCCACGCGCCCGCCGTGCTCCTCGCACACGTACTCCAGCGTGTGCACGACGTCGACTTTGACGCCGGTGACGCCCGCGCCGGCGATGTACGAGTGCATGGACTCGTAGAGGTCGCCGGCCTGGTCGGGGCGCACCAGCCCGATCCCTCCCTCGATGATGCGGTCCACGGCGAGGTCCTCCATTGTGCCGGCCAGCCCCGGGGACGGCCGCGCCGGCACGACGCACGCGTCCAGGTGCGTCGCGCCGGGGCGCACCCCACCCCACCCGCCGCACAGCGCCTGCCACACGTACACGTCGTCCAGCCCCGGGAACCTGCGCCTCATGTCCTTCAGGAACGCCTTCAGCCCCACCTCGCCGTCGCCGTCGTTGTCGCCGAGCTTCGCCAGCATGGCGTCCCTCTGCACGAGCAGCTGGTCGAGCTCTCGCCGCATCTGCGCGATTTTTGAGTCAAAGCTCGAGAGTTCGGTGGCGCCACCCTGCGCCGCCTTCTTCTTCGCCTTCCCGGCGTTCTCGATCTCCGCGGCCTTGCGCACGACGGCCTTGGACATGCTCTTATCGTAGAACACCTCCGGCGGACGGCGGATCAGGGCGCCCTCCCTGTACCCGCGGAAGCGCGCGCACTCGTCGAAGCGGTAGAGGCGCGCGGTCATCTGGTCGCCGCCGAGCACGAGGCCCCGCGCGTCCTCTTGCGGCGGGTCGTCGTCGCGGTTCACGCTCTGCCAGCCGTCGTCGATGATGAGGAACCGCGGGGGCACGCCGGCGTCGGCGAACTCCGACACGCCTTGCCAGACCCCCGCCGGGTCGACGGTGAGGTAGAAGGCGTCCCACGTGCACCACCCGAACCGGTCCGCCATCGGCGGCAACGCCTTCTCCTGGATCAATCTGCGGCAAGGTTTGGCGAGCGTTCCAGTTCTAGAGTTAATCACAGCCGTCCGATCGTGAAATCAAGGGTCGAGACTGACACAGGTCACATCACAAAGGAATGAACGAAATTTTGTACTAGCAACAAACTACGAACCTGAACGTGCCGAGGTGCACCCTGGCGGCGAGGTAAGCCTCCTGCATGACCCTGTATGGGTCATCGCCGGCGTGCACGTAAGCGATGCGTCGGAAATCGGTGCCCGTGACGGCGGCAGACCCGCTCTCGGCGCAGACGATGACGCCGTCGTCCTCTCCAGGGAAGACGGCGGACCGAAAGCTCCCCTGCACGAGCGGGAGGACGAACACGTACCCCGCGCCGGCGCCGGCGAGCTCGGGCACCTCGAGGAGCACCCACTGCGTCTCCATCTGCAGGTCCCGCCCGCGCCGCCCCGCCCACGCCGTGCTCCACCACGTCTTGAACCGGAACACGCTCAGGAACCGCCGCGGGCCGGGCAGGCGCCCCACGCGGCACGGCGCGCGGTTCGCTGGCGACGGCAACGTGAAGCCCAGAAACGCGCCCCGGCTCGCGTTCGCGGCGGCTTGACTGGCCAGCTCCTCCGGCGCGTCCGACGACGCCTTGGTGATGGGGTCGAAGGCCTCGGCGAACGGGGTCAGCGTGACGTTCCCCGGCACGCCCGTGAGGAGCGCGACGGCCGCAGCCTTGCCGGTCCCGCCGCCGACGGTGAGCGCGCCGTCCCGCAGCGAGAAGAGGCACGGCGGCGCGGACGACGACGGGGTGGCGGCCTTGGATGCCACCGCGGTGCTGCCGGTGGTGGTGAGCTTGGGCGCCGCGGCGGCGGCAGTGGCGGCGACCTTGGGTGTCGGCTTCGACTCGTTAGGCGGCGCCATTGGCAGCGCCATGGTCAAGAACGAGCAGAGGGTCGCTCTCGCTCGGATGGTGTATGGCTGGCTGCTGTTCTCTATGCTAGCTGGGCGCTGGCTGGCCAAGGTCGCTGAGAAGGACGGAGCGGGTTCCGTGGCGGTATATAGGCGCGGGAGCGGGAGCGGTGAGGACGAAGGTGGCGGGCCCTTTTTCTTTTTCTTTTTTGAAACACAGAAGCGTCTGGAGCATGATGGTGTCGTCGTGTACGTAAGGTAGGCGACATGCCACTACCCCAGCTGCCTTTTCTCCCGTCGGTCCAGCCCTTTCCCCTCGCCCCGCGTCCTCCTTCAGCAGCACTGAAGCATCCCTGGCGTGGCAGCGAAACCGTCTGGAGAGGTGTCTCCCGTCGGTGGGGCACCGTCACAGAGATGCTCTGGTCCTTTTCGCAGGCAGCAAATGGACTCGCGCGCTTCCTGGGTGGGCGCGCTGCTGCGAACTCGTCTAGCCCACCAAACAGAGAGACGCATGCAGCGAAACTATTTCGCCCCGCGTCCGACGCCCGTGAACCTCAGCTTCACTCCCGCGACGGCGCGACCTTATCTTCTATTCTTCCCCCAAATCCTCTCTCTCCTCACGCAACCACAGGCGCCGCCGCCAGTCTCCAGCGCCGCCACCCAGCCACCTGCTCCGTGCGCCGCCGCCCAACCACGTGAACCCGTGCACCGCCGCCCAGCCACTTGCGCCATGTGCCGCCTAAGCCTCCAGCGACCGTCGCCACCCTAGCTACCTGCGCCGCACGACATCGCTGCCCGGTGGCTAGCAACCCCGCCGCACTGAGCAACCAGCAGTGCCGCCGCCGCTGCCCCATCCACCACGCCGTCCGCCTCGGCCAGTAGCGCGACCACACGCCGTGGGCCTCAGGCAGCAGCTCCCTCCAACGCCACAAGGTGTTGTGTTGATTTTGATTTATTCCTCCGATTTTCCCCATTTAAATCGAAAATCAATTTTACATCTTGTAATTAAGTTGCTTCCGCCCTTGTTGATTGACCTCTCATCTGACTTGATTTTGCCTTCCATTTCGTCTGCTTGCTTCAGGGCTTCTTTGTTTTTACAGCAGCGGATATTTAGCGGGAGCAACCTGGACTACCAACTCAGATCTGGCACCTCCATCTGGAAGAACTCTCCTGTTACTGTCGAACAGCAAGGTCAGACCACGCCTCGTCTCTCCTTCGTGGTTTCCTTTCTCCCTACACGAATTATTATCTAGCATATATGTTCTTCATTTGTGATAGCCTTGCTGTGGTGAATTAGCTGCTATTTGGTTGCTAGCTGTTGTGATCTGCTATATTTTGTGCAAATTTAGATATAACACAAATTTCAGTGACTAATTTTGCTTTTGCTGCTCTGTTTTTGCATTGTGATTCACTAGTTATGGTGTACTAGCTGGATACAAATTTGTTATTATGTCTTTTAGTGTTCTATTACTAGTTGTATATGAATTTTTATTTTGTTTGACTGAAGTAATTTGTGTTATGTCTGAATTGGTAACAGGTTCCTCACTTTGATCTAGTTGCATGTTGCTGCTTTATTTGGTTCTGTCTGTGAGCTAGCCTCGAAGTCTTGGACAACTACTGTGACTCTGCTAGCTACTGGTTAGCTCCTATTTTCTAACTCAAGTTGGTAGATAAGATATGACAGATCGTGGGTGGATGTATAGTGGTTGGAAGCGTGGTAGGCTATCAAATGAATGGATTGACAAAACAAAAGAGTTTTTTGGATCATGCCTTCTCAATCCCTGAATTAGTTGAGTCTGATACAATTAGATGCCCTTGTTCCATATGCCAGAATTTTTTCAGGCATAAAAGGCCTAGGATAGAGTTGCATTTGTGCCACAATGGGTTCAAGAAAAATTACCAAACTTGGACAGCACATGGTGAGAGGCGGGGAAATCCAAACTTGGACAGCACATGGTGAGAGGCGGGGAAATCAAAACCTTGAGAATGGTTCTGAGGTAGAACATGAGGGATTTAGTGAGACAGATCGGATGGATGCTATGTTAGTTGACTTAGCTGGTGAGCATCCACCATTAGATGATGAAACACCAACTGGTTTTGCCGAATCCTTCTATAGAATGGTTGTTAGTGCAGATGAGCAAGTACATGAGCAAACCTTGCTAGGCGGTTTCTTCCTGTAGACCATCCCTTTTGGATTCAAGAAAATGCTTCTCGCAAGGGCAAGGTAGTGCAAGAAGGACCCCCTAGGTACTTAACTAGAGAGGAGGTTAAGGCTCAGCTGTACAGACTAGTTGATGACAGAGACAAATATGGCAAAGAACACAACTGGACATATATAAGTGGCCTTTGGCAGCTTCCTTACTTCACTAAATTACTGCTTCATCACAACATAGATGTGATGCATAATGAAAAAAATGTGGCTGAAGCTATTAGGAACACATGTTTTGATATTTCAGATAAGACTAAAGATAATGTGAAAGCTAGACAAGACATGGAACTACTTTGCAACTGAGTCGCACCACGAGATTGTTTGCCTGCAATTGACATCAATAATGATTGCATTGAAACTGAAGAACCATCACATGATATCTCTTTTTTCATGAGGATGGACTAGAGGGCATATCTATAATCGATCTAGGTGATATTGAAATTGTTGCTTCAGCAGCAGATGAAATAACTGATCCAATAGAATTGGAAGAGCTGGAGAAGCAAACTGATGCTCCACAGCAGGAAGATATATTAGAAACTAATGAAGAAGGCGATGAAGATGATGAATCCTATGACGAAGACTGCTATGAAGAGGAGGATTTCTAAAATCCTTCTTGTATTTCTAAAATTATTGTATTGATGTTTAAGTCTTAATTCTATCCTCATCTGGACTCACAGCTATGTATCTGCTTAAGTCTTAGTTCTATCCTAATCTGGACTCACTGCTATGTATCTTATGTGTGCTACTATGTATCTTATGTGTGCTATTATGCATCTTATGTATGCAGTCTCTTTTTCTATTGCTTGTACTGTTGCATTTAAAAGTCTGCTACTAACATTTTGTTTTAACATGTTATGTGGCAGGAGATGCAGTCCTTCAATCATTGGACGGATAGGCGACCGCGATCAAGTGATTTCTTAAATGATGTCGAGAGTCAGCCCCCTGTAGCAAAGAGGATAAGGGGCCGCAATAAAATGCTTAAAACTCGCAATGGTCAGATAGTCATAATACCTGAGGGTGACAAGTATGTACATGCTAATTTTTTTCTCTTACTGTGGACAGTTCTAGTATTAGAACTTGCTAATCCTTTTATGCAATACTTTGTGTTTGTGAGGCAGGCCATTCTGCTATGCTAATTACTCAGTTGATGATAAAATGAAGAAAGGCCCCATCCTTGGAGTGATTTTAAAGCAAGAATACCTCATCCAGATGCTGTCAAGTACTACTATCGGGAAATCATAAAAAGCCCAAAGTCTGATTCATTTGCCTATGACAAATTACTGACTTTTGAAGAATACATTCAATGCAAGCCTGATTGGTTCACCGAAGAAGCTTGGGAGTCCATTTGTAAGTATTGGTGCTCTGCTGAATACTTAAAGAGAAGGAAGCTTGGGCAAAACTCTCAGGAAAAAAAACCCTGATGGCACTCAAAATTGGGGTGGTTCTAGGCCATTAGTTGAGACTAAACAATATCTGGTAATCTCCTTTCTCACAATCCACTTCTGAATAACTTTGAATTTTTCAAAAGCATTAACATTGGTCACTTCTTTTATGCCTTGAGGGAAGCAAAGCATGGATCTGGGAAGGGCACTCTAATAAATGCTTTTTTATGCATGAAATCCGGTCTTAAGAATTGTGATGCCAATGGGAATGCTGGCCCGATTCCAGAACGGACAAAGAAACTTGTTGTATGTAGCAGAACTTTCTATCTAGTTTCATGCTTTTCCATTTGTAGTTTGTGACTAATAATTGTTGTTATTTCTAGGATGACTATAATGAAGTATTGCAAGAAAAGTATCTAGAGAACTAGCAAGAGCAACCTTTTGATGGTCAAATTGCATATAATATTGGTTGTGGCTTGCCCCATGGTCGTCTTGCAATAGGAGATGGTGCTGTCAAGAAGGGTACAATAATTGATGCTGCTAAGGCAAGTGGGAGAAGGCCAGCAACCTCAAGGGCTTTTCAAAATCTGATGGCAATATATGAGGAGTCAGTTGCAACCATCGGTCGCTTAACTCAACAAAACGCTGCCTTGGTTCAACAAAATGCCACATTGACTCGAGATGTGAAGTGTAATGATCGGGTACTTGAGGTACAATTTTATTTTGGCGCACTATCTGTCTCTAGTTGAAGATAAAAAACTAATCATGTTGGTAATTCTTCACTTGCAGCTCATTATTAACCAAGTACAGACAGAGATACCACCTGACCTGCTTCAGGAAGAAGAAAATGATATGGTAAGATTAAATGTTAAACTGTTTTTACTCTATCCAACTGAATAATCATGTTTTTTTTATATGTATGTTCCTTTCATAGTGAAACGTTTGTAGCCTTTATTTGATACATATGGGTATTTATATTCATGATCCATATTAAGTTATCACATTATCATATTTTAAATATATGGTTTTTTTATCTGTATGTTCCTTTGATAGTTAATTATTTCTGGAATTTATATCGTCTACATATTCTCATGAATGGTCCTATTTATTTAGTTTTGGATATAGGGAGGAGCGATAGATGGATCCTCTCATGCTTCACCCAACCTGGACAACAGTGATGGCCATTGATTTGTGTGATGGCAGCAAGTATTTTGTGGAGCTGTAGTCTTTTGCTCATCGGACTACAGGTTATGGCAACAACCAGGGAGGGGCTATAGATAGATCTTCTCATGCTTCAGCCAACCTAAACAATTGGGATGGCCTAATTTGTGTGATGGCAGGAAATATTTTGTGGGCCATAGTCTTTTCTTCATCGGACTATAGGTTATGGCTGCTACTAGCAAGTTGGAAGGGCATGTGATGTGCACAGAGGTATTTTGGTCGTCGCGCAACAAATGTGGATTCTGCATTTCTGCTATTCAAGGCATGTGTGCTAGACTACTAGTTGTGAAGTAGCAGCTACATATTGTCTATGCACCGTATGCATGCTTGTGAAGAAATAGCTACATATTGCCATCAAAGCTGCATCCTGGTACCAACAGATTGCTAGCTACCAGCAGATGGCCTCTTGAAGGGTCAAGGCATGTCATCTTGAAGCAATAGGTGCCAGATTGCATATTGAAGGCACGTGTGTTTATGCAGCAGCAAGTTGTGTTGGAAGCTAGATATTGCCTTCATAGGCGCCTGTTAGGAAATTGCCATTTGAACCTATGGTTGTTAGGTACCTAACTAGGAACCGTACTTCAAATTGTGCTAGCTGTCAGGTACCTAATTAGAACACTAACTAGCCAGCAGTAACTATAATTTAGCTTTGGATTGAATTGTATTTGTTATGATCAACTTGAATGATGTTTTAAGACCATCTGTAATATTTATATCACTTGAGTATGGATGTATGGTTGAATGACTTGCTATATAATATTGTTGCATTGAGTGGTTAAATCAGCTGTTGTTAACAGTAATTTTAATGGCTCAAATTTTTGAATGTGCAAATTGGCAGGCGGATCAATTTTTCTCCCTAACAGGTTACTGTCTGACTGGGAAAGTTTGAATATATCCTGACGGTAAAGTAACCGACACGAAAAGTTAGAAGCATCCCTAACGGTTTCGTACCCGACAAGAAATAGTTCCTGACGATGTCCGGAAACTGTCAGGCTAGGTCTTTACTGACGGTTTAAATCGTCAGGGAATAGTTACTAACGGTTTTCCAGGGAAGGTCCACTTTGGTACCGTCACGGATAGTCTTCCCTACGGTTATGGCCGTTACGAAAAAAAAAATGGCTGGGATAGTGTGCAGTGTCTGCACTCTGCAGAGGTTCGAGAGACGTGGTGGAGCACGACCTGGGCGGCTGGGCGAATAATGTATGCAGCGGCTGCCACTGTACAAAAATGCAGGGCCTGATTGGTGCGGTGCGGCGCGGGCACCACGCTACTGACGTTACGTGCATCACAGAAGTGTAGGAAAATGCACGTACACGAGCGAATGATGTATGCAGCTTGTCGCTGTTGCATTGGTTAGTGTGATGATTGTTTTGTAGCGAGACGTCACGCGCGACGTCGTTGACTATTACTCGATGACATGGCACGTTTATAACTGTACTAGGTTACCAGATGAAACAGCAAATATACAGCATGTTCGTTTATTGGTTTCAGTCAGATAGTGTTTTTCTCTCATAATAAATCAGCATCAGTCGAGTTTATCAGCCTAGAAACTAACCAGCAAACAGGCCGATATTCGAGTGGTACTTGCATTTACATGGTACTATTATCTTGTTCTAACAAACGACAGAATGGCATTCCCATCCTATGCAAATTAAGATTTTTTTGAATATTCAAGTCGGAACTTTATAGCCTTAGTCATACTAGCTATAGTCTAGTGACGCGACGCGATTATATTTTTATTTTTTTGTTATATTATTAGTTGCTATAGTTTTTATCCGCATATTAAGTTCAAAATCTTGTGTTTATTGCACTTTTATTTAAAATTATTCATTTGTATTTTCTTCAAATTAATGATATTATCAGGTCTAAGGTTCCACTCTGTTAATTACTAGAATGATGTTAAAATTACTGTCTAAATATCAATTTAACTTTAAATGAATAGTTAGTGACATTGTATATGAAACATTAAGGGAGCATTTTTTTCATTTGTTGAAATATAGAAATCTATATTATTACTCATGCAAAACAACTACCCTTGATCTACATCACGACGCAAACATTTATAATAAAATATGTTGGTAATTTAGATTATAGAAGAGAGAAATATGCGGACCTAATTTTTTGTAATTTAAGCGTTCCATAATAAAACATGTTGGTAATTTAGATGTAATTTGAGAGAATATTTTAGTTTATTCTTTTAATAATGACAGAAGTGAGTAATTTAGATGCAAATATAAGGGATTACTTTATATTACGGTTCATATTAGCAGAGATGGGTGGTTAGATGCATATTTACTGGGGGTTGTTTCGTGTTTTTTTTCATAATGATAAATCTATTATCTATTATTATTAATGGTAATTAGAGTATACCACATTGGTAGCAAGATATTTTTATTTATTTCAAGAATTCCTATAATTTGTCTTATTTTAGTGTATCTCACAAAAATCAGCATGGAGGCTCCAATAAGATTTCTAATTAATAATAGTAAGAATAAGATACCAGGTATATTCTGCGCGTTGGTGTTTTTTTTCACATATTTTTGCGTTGCGAATGCTCATTTTTTTCTCACTCAAAAACTAAACGTAATCATTTTCTTTCCTAAACATAACAAAATAATTATACACCACCGAAGATGCATATAAGGCGAATAAAATTGGAGACCGCGCAGGGGTTGTTCATGCACTGTTCGTTACTGTTTGTGGCACGACATAACAAACGAGACATCATCTTTTTGCAAAGAAGAAGATAGTAGTACACTCGAATCAGAGCATCATTGATCGTGAAATGAAAAGCTCTTAGCAAAACAAAGTTAAAAGGCTCACTAGGTATGTATATAATAATTTAAACAGACTTCTGTTTGTGCACGAAAGTAGTACGAATGAATGAATCTCAAAGTAGTGTTCCCAGTGCATCTAGATCCGTCCCACGCAGACCTGAACTTCTCTGAACCTCCACCATGAAATATTTAAGTTCAGATAAACCTTCAATCTGCTGACGCTCCTTTACGTATGAGTTGACCCTGTTGCTATCAGGAGTGTCTAGAACGTAGTAGGAGCACATACACAGCGTCGAAATGCATTGCAGGGGCCCTCAACCTCTGCAATACTGTATGTGCACTGCCGTCTCCTGCCTGCATACACATTCCATCATGGGCCCCAACTCGCCTACAATTGCATCTCTTTTTGCCAAGACTTGCTGCTGAATTCTGTGATCCATCTCTGAATGTAGGGCAGGGCAAACGTTTGACGTTAGCTCAATTATTGGTTGGTTGCAATGGTCGCTGAATCACAGGGAGTTGTACAGCATTTTGCTGTTGCAGATTCAGTGTGGGCCCAGGAGGGTGATGAGTCAGCATGAACTAATCCTACTCACTGCATTTTAATAGTAGTACAAATGTACAATATAATAATATAGGAGATCATCGAAGGAGCTGGAAATGATAGAGACCACCCATCCCAACCATTCACATTTCAGTTTATATCAGCTTCAGAAAATGCCTATCTGAGACAGCCGTAGCTGCTCTCATTCCTGTGGGCAGTGGGCTCTAGAGTACTCGCCTGTAACAAAGTGTGGCAAATTGCAGGCGATAGCGCAAAAATGATCTTGCTCATTTCTACGTCAAACATTGCGCAAAGGATGCTCCTGAACAAGCGCGTGTTCTCGAGAGAACGAACGTACATGACATGATTGTTTAAAGCCAAACTGCATTATGTGGGGCCATGCATCCACTGATTAGGAAGTTAGGAGAAGGTTTAACGCACTAGCTGCTGCTGATGTGCTAATCAGAAAGGTACTAACGAAGCCCAGTTTTTACTCGTTGGTTCGTATACTCTTTTTTGAAACTTTACTTCAGGGCTTGTCACCTTTTTCTCCTTCATTTTTACAGTGTCAGACACCAGATCTGACATACAAGAGACTCTTCTAAAGATCTAATAATTAATGCCTTTTCCCATTATCTTTGTTTTTCTAAGAGCTACATGTTTTGGAATTCTAAGCTAAGTAAAGGGCGTACCCAGTGTACTAGAGAGCTCCCGCTCTGTGCGGGGTCTGGAGAAGGGTGTCAGTGGCAAGTCTTATCCTCACGTGTGCAATGTGAGGAGACCACGACTCGAATCCGGGACCTTCCGGTCACATGCGGTAAGATTCTACCGTTTGCATCAGGCCCGCCCTTCGAATTCAAGCTAAGTACATATACAATATTAAAATGCAAGAAGCACTCAATTAGAGAGCATGGATGGCCCTACTTAGGTTGAACCATTGAATGTAAGATCAGTGGCGGATCTAGAAACATGGCAATAGAGGAGTTAGACATTACACCTTATAGGCCGGAGTTTCCGTGGACTATTGAGGTAGAAAAATTAGTGTGTGTTGTGAGTGTCTACGTTGTACTGTATTTTTCAAAAAAAAAAGTAAAGAAGACACATAATAAAAACACATAATAAAAACAATAAGCTTATACAAAAGAGAAAAAGGGAAGATTTGTCACATTTACTCATGGGCCGTGCGCGCTGGATGTGGACGGTGGGCTGTGTTTAGGCCGATAAACTTCCAATTTCTTTCCTTCTTCCAACTCGCACTCCATTCCGGCCCACTATTTATGGGCCTCATGAGCTGACCAATCAATGGGCACACAAAATTTGCAGAAAAAGTCCATTTAACTTGCTTCAACTATTGCCTAAAATCGGATTTTTAGACTCCATTAAACCGTTTGATTTAGCTCTCTAAACGGTTTTGGAAACGATTTTAGGTGAGATGGCTCCACGTCAGACACGAGCGAGGTAAATCTGACCTTCACAATAGTTTAGGACGTCAACTAGATTTTTAAAATTAATTTAGAAATATATTTTCAAATATCCAAATATTTTTCAAGAATAAATATTTATTTAAAATACTATTTTTTTGATAAATACTGAAATCTAATTTATAACGGGACAGCTAGCATCCGGACGTCCGTGCCCGCGCTCGCACCAGCAATCCACGCCCGCGCTTGCAAAAAAAAACCAGCACGACCCCGCCTGTGCTTGGGTTTCACGTGTCCATGTGGAGCCCGCACCGCCAG